TACAACTTCAATCGTACAAAATGAAGAAGAAAAGCTTCCCAACAATGACGAAAATACCCGAAGAAGAAACTGAAAACGAGGGAATACCACAGAAGGAAATGGCAAAAGTTCCACAACCAAAACCGAGGCAAAGCCTGAGACTGGAATCAAAAGGGAAGTCGAGATTGCCCAGACAGTATCTCGCCACCGATGGGCCTAATGGGGATCCCATGACGAAGAAGGGAAAAGACGAAGTCGTCCTTAGGGAATGTAAGTGTACAAAGGCAGAACAACCGAGAAAACTCGTCGAGACCGCCATAAAAGCTACAGTAACCAAACCTCCGTGTGAGCGGGGATCTTACAGGGGACCTAAGCCAGATGTCCCACCGAAACCCCGATTTTGTACCAAGACACAAGCAGAATCGGAAAAGAAGTCGACAGTCTTCCCGCCAAAACAGAAACTCCCCGTCAAGAAAGTAAGTCAACCCTCACAGGGAACATCAACAGGAGAACATCTTTCAGCTTTTACACCACCAACTAAGCGAGCCTTACCCAGGGTGAGAATTTCTTCCCCACCAGAACCTATCGGGGAACCTCCTACACCGGACGAACCCGCTATCCGGGTTTATGCACCAAGCCCAAGAAGTCCCAGACCAGCCTCCGAGGTTTCAAGTCTGTCCGATTTTTCAGACGAAGAGCCCGAACTGGTTACATTGGCAGCTATGCAACCTTCCCTGGAGGTAAAACCACTTGGGGATTTGTTCCCAACAAAATGCGCTGAGGTTGGGCGGCCCATAACCTTGAAAAGAGTTGTCTTACCTCCACCAGAACCTTTAACCAAGGCTCCAATCCCTTCTCGTTCTAGAAAAGAACTAGCGGAGTCTAGTGGGAAACCTTTCCCGAAAGGGAAAGTTCCAGAAAAATGGAAGGAAAAGCGCATAGTAACATCCGCTAGCGCCACGACAGTCCTTCTGCTTCCTCCACCCGAACCAACTGCCCCGGCCCCAAGGGGGAAGCCCCCAGATGCCCAGGTGATTCCCGCCGAACCGTCAGCACCTAAGAAGACAAGGTCGAGGCATACTGCACATTGCATCTATAACAAGAGAGGCGGTAGAAATTACTGGGCCGCAAAATTGCGTAAATCAGCAAGGAAAGCTCCTATAGTCGTCGTGCATGTATGTTATTGTAGTCCAAATACTTTGAACCGGTGTTGTGGTT